GAGGTCGACATATTTTTTTTTTTTTTCATGATATAGTGTTCCTTTTTTTCTCACATGTTTGGTACTTTTTTTCCTGTCCTTTGAATATCGTCCCGCAGCAGCTGTACTCGCCATGGCCGATGTGTTATCCATACCCACTGTGTGTCTCCCTGAATGTGTTTCTGTCCAAAAGGCAGCGGTGCATTATGGGTACGCAATCAGCAGGCTCTCTCAGGACCTTCCTTTTACGCGGTGCGGCCTTCTTTGATGCGTGCTTCGGTAAACACAGGCAGCTCTCTCCCGACCGCGGTCTCCTGGGGGATGAGGCTCAGCACAAGAACACTAATGAGCACATTAGAAGGAAGCCATAGAAGGAAAATGCTACAGTTGTAAATGGAATTGTCTCCTGTGTTGTCGGTGGCGATGATGCACCGTCTAGGGATGGGGACCTCTAGGCACGATTCAGTCGGCTTCTGATTCAGAGGGATACAATGGGATTATGAAATTATTATGGATTCATCATCAAAGATATATTTTTTAAACATTGCGTAATTGTAATGGTTTGCAATTTAAAAGTAATATTAGTAACAAATATCAAGAGAAGGGAAAGAGAAGCAACAAAAAGGAAGAAGAAAAAAGGTTCACGTAGCAGCACCCTTGTACTAAAAACTTCCCTAATTCACAAATGTTGTGTGAACAGATGCGACGTCCCTAACATCAGCTTTCCTTGTTCATTTGATTTTCGAACAGTCTGATCTGCTGATCCCTATTTTTTCCACTTCGAACAACTGTGTTTGTTTAAGTTTTTCAGAGGAAGATCATGAAAGCATTATAATCCAGGCTGACCACAGATGGTTTGTTGCACAGAAGTATCTGAGAGGCCAGTTTCTGAAGCTGTTTGGGCATTTGCTTACCTAAACATATTTAGCAGCGGATTTATTTCAAGCATCTGTTTGAAAGTAATCAAACATTGGTGCTTAGAAGTAAAAGGAGGAAAGTCAATATGTAGTGACATTTGCTGCTGACAGTAACAAGCAAGTTGTTGAATCTGCGATTCATTATCTTTAATTCCAGTTAGATGCTTTTTTAAATATAAATACTGTGTGGTTTAAGTCAATATATAGTTTCTGTAAATACCACTAAACGCTTTTTTACCGGGAGGCAAACATTGAAAATGTCTCAGTGATTCCCATAAAAAAAAATCTTTCAGATCCATGCTGTGCACTACAGCAGAATATCTGACTGCCCCACTTTTAGTGCACTCTAATTGACTCCATGCATTTATAGAGAAGAACGTGAGGGACTGTGACTTGTATGGCTTGTATGTTGGTTCATTGTAAATAACAGGTCTATAAGTGATAAAGTGCCCCATGTTTGCAACATTTCAAAAGGCAAAATGTATCTATATTTAGCAAACTTTTGAAGGTCTACATTGAAAGCCGTTCAATGGTGGTGATTGGGAAGGCAGGCCTATCCTCCGCATTGCTCTCAGATAGCTGATCTATCAAGCGTAATCTGAATATGTTATCCCCAGCCAGTAGATTCCTTGAAAGTTACCGATGGGAATCGGCAATCTGGATCGCGGGCGAGAAAGACGTGGAAATGGTTTTCAAAGACTCCAGGATGAATCACAGTGAAACCGCAGCTGCCGTTTATTAGCACATTTTGCTCCCATGTTCTTTTTTTTTTATTTTCACAGCTACACCAAGAGTCTGAGCTTTGAGAGCGCTTGTGCTAGAAGATAGCGCGGCAAAGGTTTAGTTCTGTGAAAAGGCTTCATTAAAAGTGTTGATCTAATGGCAACATGTATGTTTGTCATAATTAGTCACGACAGAACAGTCGTGATAACATCTTAAAGCGAGGGACAACTCACTTCTGGCCTATTCCCTCCATAATGAAGTGATAAGATATGCTTTCCTTCTGGTTGGATCGTAGTTTGTTAGTGTGGATCTACTGCAGAGTTCAGACTAATCTATTCAGGGTTCAGCCACAACCACACATGATGCATTTACGTTCCACACAAACACACATTTATCACACATTCTGCTCGCGCGCGATCGAGTTACACTAATTGCTTTTTTGATTTTTTTTTAACTTGCTCCTTTTCTGATGGGAATACGTTGCACTCCAACCGGATCCTGTTTGACAGGTGCTTGTTCAAAAAGTGCCCGAGTTGTGCTTGCTGCGCTGCAGATTTTTTACCATTTCGCGCCTGTCACGGTGATAAAACGGCAACGCAGAAGAAATTGACAGCCTGTATTGCTCAAGGCCAAACATATCTGGCTTGTCCCTTGATGTGGCCAACAGGGTTTAAAGAGTGGAGGTAATCCTTTAAGGCTCTTTAAGACTTTTTTTATTTATTTGCAGTCTTGAGAGGTTATCCGTACGGTTTGTTTGTCTGCCGACTTTTCACCTGGTCAAGAGAAGTAGAACCTTTTTCTTACGTTGGACTCGTTTGAAACTAAATGAAATGTCTTTAACATAATGAGCTTCTCAGGTCAGATTATTCATCGAGTAACGAGACAAACTTTTAGAGATATTTTTGTGTCACTTGAAAGAAATTATTCATTTATAACAACTGCTGCGGTCTTTTATTTTATTGACGGTTTAGTACAATGTTCAAAGTATTCGATAATGTTGTAGAACTGAGACCACTAACATCTGTTTACTTATCGCAAGTACTATGGTTACGGCGTTATGAGCCTATTTAACATATTTTCCTCATACCTCGCAGGCCCAGGAATATTATACCACCGGGTATTCCCGACATTAGCTGTTCCAGAACTCGTTTGCACATTTACAGACTTGCCATGACTGGTCTGAGATGAGAGCGCGACGCGTCAGCCTGTTCGCAGTGTGAAACGCGCACCTTCACAGCCTGAAAAGGGGAGTGCAAACGCGCTGGCGACAGAGATATGTGGGACACATCACGCGTCCTGGCGGAGTCCCGCGGTGCTGTGTCACAGGTACCGCGGTGACCTCGTGGCGTTGACGTCCTCTGCGCCTTTGCTCTGTCAACAGCGTGTGCGACAAAGGAAGATGACAGTGCTTGTAACCACTTGTTACGGAGATAAAAACCAAACAGTAATAGTGGAGCAAAAGCAGCAAAAGACTCCGGCTCCCATTGCTTGAAATAAGAAAAGGCAGACGGTGGCTTTATAAATACAACAACCGTGTGGGCTTACGGCACAAAATCAATCCTCCCCCCTTTTGTAAAAAAAAAAATAATCTCTTTCTCATATGCTTGAACCCAAACCACTGACCTCACATGGCGGCCGTAGTCTTTGTATGTCAAACATGCTATTTCTGAGATATGGTCACTGCTGCTGTCTGAATAATACATACAAGGGACCACAAGCGCCGTGGTGATTATTACCACGGACATGCGAACCACTGGGGGACGTTGTGTTCTAATTTCTATTATTAAAGTTTTCATCTTGGAATAGATAACCCTTTGAAAGCTGCACTCTGGGAATATGTTGATTTAATAATATGAGATGTAATCTGCGTCTTTAAAAGCCGAGAAAGTGAGAGTGTCGGCTCGGTATGTATCACACTCTTATCACTGAGGTATAAGGAACTGAACTTACATGTTCATGCGTAATTCAGAAGCATCTCCCCGGATATTAAAAAATACAGAGCCAAAAGGCATCTGAAGATATCATGAGAACCCCTACAATAAGATATGAGATAAGAGAGTTTTTACTCTGACATGCTGGTCGCAAGAACACCACATGTCTTTTTTTGTGTTCCCTCTGATCTCTCATCTCTTGGGCCTCACACGAAGAAGACCCCCCCCACCTCCCCCCCACGGATTTATCAATCAATGTCCGTAAACAAAAACGCCGATTGAACTGGACACTCGAGCAACACGGACGGATTACCGACTTTTCATTCCCACACGTGCAATTGGTCACCGGTGCCTAGACAAAAAACAAAAAAGGCCACTGTCCTGCAGTGACTGCGGCCTGCGAAGCTCTCGGACTCTCACCAAAGGGGAACAGAAACGGGAATCGAGTGACAGGAAGGTAGAATGCGGCGCGTGAGTGCGCATGGTGCCCGTGCACTTAAACGGCGATGGTCTCTGTGCGGGCAAAACAAATGGATGAAAGCAGAATCCAATATGTAATCCAATTGTATTCGTAAGGTATTGAGCGTAATACCCGTCGATCCAATTTTCCAATGCTCGGTCAGATGATGGAGTGCAAAAGCCTCTGAGTGATCACTTCCATGTTAGTGTTTACGTGCGTGCGTGTGTGCGTGCGCCAACAAGACGTGTGCACACTTCAATGGATATCTGTGTGCAGATGGTGGTTGCACATGCCAGCTCACCATGTCTATACGGCGCTGACAGCTGTGCATATTTCACAGGGTGGAGAAGCCTGCAATGCAGTGCTTCTGCATGGCAGTCATGCTCTGTATGTGAGAGCGACTCAGGGTTGGTCTAGAGGAGGAGAATTAAAGCTGCAGCGCCGCTCTCGGGCTCTACTTCAGTGTGGTGACGGATGTTGTCATACGTGTGAAATGTATTCCTGTGTTTTCCCGACTGCGTCTGAGGAAATTGTGGTTAAATTGCTTCATTTGAAACAAAACGGACACAAGGAGCGTCTTTGAAACACACCTAAAGCAGAACAACGCTAACAACAGTGATAGTACCAAAGCTTATTATTACAGTCAACAATGCACATTACACCTTTATCTTCTTTGTTGCATCAGGTTCGGAAATCTTTAAAACAAAAAGTTTAATTCCGTAGTCAGTATTGAAGTAAGTAACCTCCTTGGGCTTTCTTCCGTTGACCCAATTACTAGTTTCTTCCAGTCTGAGAACGGTGGTCATTTCAGAACAAACAATGGCAGAGAGACTAAACTTTTAGAACCCTAACGGCACGTCTTGTGCAGAGACACACCAAAGAAACATCCCTGTGCAAATGAGCAACGATTAAGTTAAGGAGACAACCTTGTATTTTTTATCAATATGAACTAACCCTGTCCTCTGTCCTCTGTCCTCTGTCTGTCTTTAGCTGTGGCCCCCACACTTCCCAGTCTGCGCTCAGAGGTGTTCAAGCCGTGCGTGGAAGACAAGGATCTGGCCTTCTGTCTAAACGAGGGAGAGTGCTCCATCATTGAAACTGTGGCCGGGGTTCACAGACACTGCAGGTGAGTGGTGTGTGTGTGTGTGTGTGTGTGCGTGTGTGAGAGAGAGGCATTTGGTTTCTCTCTCAGCATTGACGTTTCCTCCCGTTGCCCTTCCCTTTCAATCACTAACCTTGGGGTAATTTTCCCTCAGGCTGTTCCATTCATTTAAGCTCCTGACAGACTGGGCTGCTTAGAGTGATGAGACACGCAAGAATACGGATGCACGAAACGCACCTTCAGAATCAACAAATATCTAGTTTAATCCAAAACATCCAATCTAATCGAGGGAACAGACATGCTTTGGTTTTAGTAGAGCTTTGGCTTGGTATTTGTAAAAAAAAGAGAAAACAGCTACCATGTAGTATCTAAAGCCTCCGGTCAATATATCAGATCAAAGTATCAGGTCGTCTCAGCACCCACATCGACAAAAAATATCCTACTTTTATGGTTTTATTATGACAACTGCATCGATGCGGCCAGAACATTTAAAAGTAAAAGACTGTCGAGGCAGCTAAATGCCTCAATCCAAACCCTTAAACTACACACGTTGAGAAGCACCGTTTTAATGCACATCCGAGTAGGAAGCCCACGGGGAGCAAACCTGATCCAACTGTGTTTTAAATGTGGTCCGACAAAACTTTTAATTGTGATTTGCACTTTTTTTTTTCCTCTGGTATAAATGGATTTCAATGGTAGGTGTAAAGATGGGACTCTTCCTTTGATCTTACTTAAAAGCAACCGATTGTCTTCCTATTTTATCGATGTTCTTTCCTTTTCTCCTTTAGTTGCACTTAGGCACTCACAGGCTGGACGTCAGTTTGAGGTGAAAGCATAGAGAGAACGTCCGTCTGTCAAATTTCTTTTTACTAAATAAAACATAATTCATTTTAAATAGTTATTAACAACATTTTACAAACATTTCCAAGGGCTGAAGTACTTTTTTCATATATTTTGTTATATATACAAAAACCACAGGGGAGGCTGTATAACCCGTACTGATGCTGAGCTGACTGACACAACTGGTGAAGAGGCGGGCAGAACTAAAATGTTGTCAATTAGCTTTATTCAATTTATCGAAGGCACAAATCTAATCCTTTCTATTGCCTTTGAAAACCTATTTTCCTGCACTATCAAGCAAGTACCATTTAGCCGACGGCTATTTGTGTTTCTTCATATTTGTCAAGAGAGCAAGCAAGCTTTGTTTGCATGGCACTCAGAGCGGCACAGTCAACAAGTTGTTTGCATAGAAAAGAAAAGAGATGAAATGTACACAACAAGACGTGGATATTATGAAATAATAGCTAGCTTTAGCCAATTAGGATCACACATGAAACACCATTCGAGGAATGCTTTGCTCTTCTTTAGATGTCCCTCGCAGCCGGATGCACCACCCACTTTGGCTCTGCAATAACTCTGTTGCATAGCTTTCAAAATATATCACTTTAAATATACATGGTGAGATCTTTTCTTTGGGGGAAGAGTTTGACGAATGATGCTGAGTTGAAAAACAGCTCTGAAGTACCTGGAAGCGTAATTTAAAAAAGAAGAATGTTGCATTATGAATGAGGCATGAGTCAAGCTTCTCGGAAAGGTACATTTTGAGCGCGAGCTTTACAAGTTTAATTAAAACTCACCGATCGTTAAAAATGGTCACGCAGACACGATCAGGACAATTACCCAGATGACTTAAATGTATCTAAGGAATGTAGCACCAGCAACCAGAGTTTTGCTTACACCTAATTATAGACAGCAGAAAACAATACTGATTAAGACCTGCTGATTGTATACTATCTGAATGCTAATAGCTGAGACTCAGGAAGGGGACTTGTGTGTGTGTGTGTGTGTGTGTGTGTCTTATGTGACGGTGACGTAACAACCTGGAGCCTCCTACACAGGTGACTGCAGCACCAAGAAACCCTGAAGACTCGCACTGCAGCTACGGCCTTCTGGGAAAAAATTAGCCACAGCCGAATGACTGCGTGTATTTTCTTATTCTCAAAGCCCCCGTAGCGTTTACATTTGTAAAGTACCCACACTTCCATACGCATGCGCGCCTCTAACTAAGATATCATCGCTGATCCACGATGAAACATTGATCCCCATTTTTCTTTTTGGTTTAAAGATTACCTTTTTAGCTCACAGACTAGAATTAAAGATGCATCGAGTTGCACCAGTGCTCATCAAATATTTAAAGCAGATTCTTTATTTAAATGGATTGTACCTTTTGTCTTTTGCTCCGGATGAAGCGTTTTTTTTACCGGCTTCCCGAGAGTTTTCCACTCTCCTTTTGTTAACTTCGGAGCTTTGGGATTTCATGCGAAGCTTGTAGCACACGGTCGACTTTTGAGAGGTTTGTTTTCTCAAAAAGGCCACAATTGTATTTTTTAGGTGACTCAACCGTCAGACCAAAACAATGAGCTGAAACCACCAGCTGAGGAAGGCAAACAGCTGCTGGGCCGTTACCGCGTTCCTACTGCCTCAAACACACTCTTTTTTTTTTTTGCTTGGTTTGTCTTCCTCTCAGATATTCAGTGCTTGGGGATCAGTCCAGATGTTGTCCAGGCACATATATGGATACAGCTAACAAGGAAAGAGTTGCTTCTCGAATAAGCCGGGTGATTACACCAAGGTTTTTTTGGGGGGGGTGCATACTGTTCATCAATCATCCCTCAGAGAGGCCTTCGCGACAGCACCTGCTGATGTCTCGAGTCTGTTCTGAGGGGCAGAAAAGTAAAGGAATAATGATCACTGACCCCACAGAGCAAACCGCATAATACATGGTGGGATATTGTCCAATGTTGGAAAAGCACACACGCAAGACTGATTTCTAAAGAGCGGAATTGCTTGATGACAACATAGTTTTGAAGTTTGGAATCTGTTTATTTTGTTAGGAAACATTTCCTTAGCTCTCCCCCCCGTAACGCTGGATATCCATATTTACCAATTCTAATAAGGCTCCCAAAATAAACATGCAAATGTCCGTTTAAGACCTACTTCCACATCAGAGCTGTGGCTCCTTATACACTAAATACAGAAACAGCTACACTAACTCAAAGATGCTGTTGCACATATGGAGTTATTGCTGTACCAATGGCAGTGTGTAAACCGAACCTTTACATAAGAGCTCTGTCACATTTATACAATAAGCGTATGTTTCATGAGGAGGAAAGAGCTGTAAAATAATCGTCAAAGAAAGCAGTGCATTCATAAAATGGGACACACACAGTACATTTCAAAATGAATATAAAGCATTCCACTCACAGTGTATCCCGTAAATGCCCAGATTCTTGAATACTGTGTCATTCAGTTAAATATATATTATATTTAGCTCTACGGCTCTTTCTCTATTGCCTCCAAATCCTCCATAACGAGTGTGAAATGGTTCCCCGGGAAGCACTGCAACAGCAATGCAATGTCTTTTTACTTCATAGTAAGTATGGAACAAGTTGCATTCGTAATATTAAGCACCAGTTCACACACAGTCCTGTGCCGATGCAGATCGATATAAAATCGTTCCCCAGGAGGAGGAGAAAGATCTTTTATGTCTTTTTTTTTAACGTGCACCTTTGATAGCAGAGGAGAAACTAAAAAGATGACACCTCTTCCTTCTTCTCCAAGGTGTCGGGACTCTCAGGGCACAAAAAAGTAGAGTGTGCATATTATATGGAAATGTGAAAAGGGTGGAGGAATACATTATCGGAAGGTGCGGCAGAGCTAGCCGTCGGGCCCATCTAAGTCGCCTGTTTTTGCTTTTCTCGTGTTCGGAAGCACAGTTTCGTGACGGCGAGCCTGGAATAAAACCAACAGGCGAAATACCTGCCGCAGGTACACAATCGGCAGCAAAATTAAACTGACTTAAAGAGATAACGCGCGTTCCACGTGATCCTACGAGAGCTGCCGGCCAGCGTGAGAACGCAGCACGCGAGGAGACAAATGGGACCTGAGGCGGACTGTTGGGTCACTTTGGCTGTGCGGGTGGCGCATGGAGGATGCAGCCAGCTCCACAACTGTCCCTCCATGCGTGTTGTTGCATGTTGCATGGCTTGAATGACAATTACGACGCACAGCCACAAGTGCATTTAATAGTGAGAGCAGTCTTTCTCCAGGAGAAAGAATATCTGGTATCAGGTATCGTCTGCTAAGTCTTGACGAGAGGACTTGTTTTACATGTATGTTTTTACGAGTATTTTCGAAAAGTAAAATAGAGCCGTGCGCCTTTGAAACGATTTGCGTTGATTTTCGGTTCAAGGGCAAACTGTGGTAGTTATATACTACACAATCTCCTTGCGGCAAAAGCACTACTGACACAAACAACACTGTGCATTTTTCTTTCACTCGAGCAAAAGCCAAATTCATGAAAGATTACTGCATTACGTTGTGGGTTTCATAAGAGTAATATGTTTGGAAAAGAAAAGGAAAAGAAGAGCAACAGTTCCGCGCGGAGTTGTTAGGAGGTCAATTGGCGATACAACGAATAATGCAATGGTGTGAGGTCTGCAAATTACAGGAGGGCACGGGTGTTATTCTGAGAGGCAAAGCTTACCAGAACCACTTTCAGTCCCCCCGCAGCCCCAAGACACAACAGGACCTTGTGGCCTCTCATAATATCTCATGAGAATAACCTCGCTGTAATTGATCATTCTGCATGGGCGCCCTTCACTCGCCCGGGTAAAATTTGTTCTGCATTTTTCAAAGCAATTATTTCTAGCAGGTTGTAGTTTTCAAATATCGTCCCCGTTCGGTGGTGCAGGATTTGACTTTGACGTGGGGGCTCAGCGGTATCGGCCTGACATTTGCTCAGCACAACCAAGAGCACGCAGTTAGCGCGGGAGGAAGGTATTGTGGAATATGTTCCCCCCAACGAGGGCGGGGTGCAGCTTTGGCTGCCGTATTGTGTTGCGTCGAGTGCGTGTGTGTGTGTGTGTGTGTGTGTGTGTGTGAGACACGCGGCCGAGGTGATCAGTTTCGGGGAATTGAGAAGCGGCGCCTGCGTCACTCGGAGGCGATTCGGGTTTGTTGCT